GCTTGGGGGGGGGTCAACAGTGGGAGGACTTCTAATGTCCTGGCCCCACTGGTGGGCCTCCTGATGGCACCTGGTATTTTTGGTAACTGTGTGACAGAGTGTTGGACTGGATGGGCCTTTGGCCTGATCCAACATTGGCGTCTCTTATGTTCATAGCCAGTCGCACATTCATCTGTACTAGAGGAGTGACTAGCACAAGTCACTGGTTCTGTGATCGACCTGTGAATTGTAGTTCTCAAAGTATTCCATTCCAGGAAAATGTGGCATGAGACTCTTTCAAGATCAAAAGTAAAACCAATGTATTCAGACTAGTTCACTGTGAACTTCCGCAAACATTTCTGATTAGGACTTTTGTAAAATCCACAGTCTGCTAGTTGTATCTCGATAGGGCACTCTGACAAATGAATATTGTTTTTTATTTTTGCATTGTCTTCAAATGACTGACTCCCACCCTTTCTTTTTCATAGCACATAATGCAGTTGTCACATCAGCAATTTTTGCCCCAAATCCCAGTTTGATGGTATCGGCAGAAACATCTGAAAAACAAGAACCCGAAAACAAAAGTGATGACTTGGAAGCAGCTGATACCATCCCTTCTGGTAAGTACCTATCGGCTAGGGCTTACATTTGGGAGCCCTCTTTAAAGCATCATACCCATCAATTGGTCAAGCTAGACTAAAATAACTTTTGATTTAATAGATGTAGTAAATTAATTTGGACACATCAACAGTGAATGAAAACTAGGATCTAATGATGGGGCAGGTTAACGAAAGGAAATGAAGGATTCTGAATTTTAATGTATATGTTCCTTATGCATCTCTGTCATTAAGGATTTCAAGCACTTCCTTCCATGTCCCCAGAAGGAATCTGCCATTCTGCTCATATCTGTTTTCTAAAATCCAGCTGGGTGTTCCTTGACACACTTTGCACATGTGATTCGCCATGTTTAGAGGTATACCTCTGAACCCCAGTTGTGGGCAGTGGGGCATAACACCAGGGGAAGGCTGTTGCCTTCATGCCGTCTGTGGGCTTCCCTGGGGGTATTGTTTAGAAAGCAGAGATGTGGCGGAAGACCACGTGGGAATAGTCCCAACAGAATTTCTCGACACCTGTCCTCTCCTAGAGCCAGTTTGGTGTGCTGGTTAAGAGCACGGACTCTAATCTAAGAGAACCGGGTTTGATTCCCCACACCTTCACATGAAACCAGCGGGTGACCTTGGGTCAGTCGTAAGTTCTTTCAGAGCTGTTCTCTCAAGAGCAGTTCTCTCAAGAGCTCTCTCAGCCCCACCTACCCACAGGGTGTCTGTTGTGGGGAGGGGAAGGGAAAGGAGATTATAAACCACTCTGAGACTCCTTTGGGTACTGAAGGGCGGGGTATAAATCCAATCTCTTCTTCTCTTCCTCATATTTCTGGATCCCTGAGAGATCCTTCCCAGCTTGTTGTTTTAGTTTCATCTCTCTCCCCACCTCCCCAGTTTCATAACCCCAATGGATTTCACTTCCCCATTGATGATATACATAAGACTTGCTGGATTTGGCTCAGAAGATAAGAAGGAAGGATTGGAAGCCCTTGAAATCTGAGGGAGCCGAGGGCATGTGTGTACACACTGCTTCTGCGGTGTTCACCCTGGGTAGATGACACTGCCTTCCCTACTAGATCCTTGCTTGCTTTTGAGTATCCCTTCTAGCTGCTGTGTAATGGTGAGCTTGTAGTTACCCAAGGAGGCAGAGTGGATCATTCCTGGGCTTAGCTCTTTGGGGAAATGTTGAGACTTGAATACTACCATGTTTTGTTTGGTCACTGGCTGAACCCTGTTTGATAATGAGAAGCTCATTCTCAAACTCAGCTGTTCTTGATTACTTGCTAAAACTTGTTTCTCCTTCCATTTTAAGGGGCTTTGAAGACGGATCACGCAGAAGTGCTTCTTTCAGCTGATTTTACTGGAGCCATCAAAGTCTTCATTAACAAAAAGAAAAATGTATCTTAAAATCATTGGTAACTTGAAAGCATCATGACAACGGTACCTGAGTGTGAATCATGTGATCGGTGAAGCAAAGCATAATATAGTGTCGGAGGCTGACCTTTTTTAAAAACAAAACACAAACCTTCAGTTTTCAAGCTGCTCCACTAAAGACCTCTTGGCAAAGCGGCATCCCGAACTATTGACTGCCCTGTCTTGTAGAGGAGAAAGGGATGTGGTCAAGGGACGTTGCCAATCAACTTGTCAGCATTCTGTTTTCTGAATAATTGTTTTGCTGAGTAATTGTTGCCATGTGCCAGATTATTGTGCAAGAAAAAGGGCAAGGGGAGATTCGCACATGTATGTGCCTTTTGGGGGCTGAACACAGGCAAATGTTTAATTTATTGAGCAATGCCCGGGAAGGGGAGCCAGGAATCTGATGTCTTATTAAGAAGGCTAAGCTGGTCTAGGATAGCAAATGAGGTCTCTCCCCGAATCCCACTTCTGATGAAACTGATCTGTTTTGAATTTGTGTTTAACGGAGCTAAAATCCCGTGGCTGGATCCCTTTACGTTTTGTGAAGTGCTTTCCTCCCCCACTCCCACCCCTGGATGGGCCAGCAGCAGCCGTGTGTGGATGTTTTATAATGTGGATTTCTTTTTTGCTGTCTTCTAATTATTGTGGACTCTAGATTCCTTTCTTAATATACAATTTCTTTTGCACACTGGAGCACAATATTTCTATGAAAGAGTCTCTCATTCCTTATTCACGGGCACTGGATTATGCTCACCTTAAAAAAAAAATAATTAAGCTGCGTTAGAAACAATTCTTATATTTTACAACAATGTAAAATAAACTGTTTACATATTTTTTTAAGCATTGTAGTTTAAAATGTTATGTTTTGTTTTGTTTAGAGCTAATTGAATTTAAAAGTCTTTGTAAATATTCATACAATGTACCAATGAAACAACATTTTGGGGTGTTGGAACCCACAAAACGTTGTTGATGGTTTCTCTCGTTTCAGAGGACAAAAGATGTAACATTAAAAACTGGTCACATTGAAAGAAGTTTGGTTGTCATTTCTCCTCTTTGTTAAAGAATTTTTTGCTTGGCTTCCATGCAGAGCTGGCATTTGCCCATCGACTTGTTGGCATTCCATTTCCTGAACGGTTATTCACTAAATAATGATGGCCATGATTTGGATTCTATACTGCCTTCATTCTGTTTTCCCACGGCTTAGTGGCTTCTCAAATAGCCCACAAATGGTGCTGCAGATTTTTCAAGCTTCTTCAGGCCCATAGCCACGGGGGCCCCTCAGGGCAGCGTCCCCTCCCAAATGTGCCCTGCCCCCTCCTCTCCCGATCCCCCTCCCTTCCCCTTGTGGTTGGCTGGGAGGGGGAGGGTGCCTGGGGCATGTGGCGCTGCCCTCTCATGAATGGAGCAATGACGCCAGCGGCAAGCTCCTCCCCCACTTCCCTCACAGCCTCATGTGACCCAGGGGTGGCTGGGTGCCTTGACGAACAGCTGAAGCTCCCCTTCCCACCCCTTGCTAGGTGTCTTCTCAGTGCCAGAGACTGCCCATGTGGAAGCCAACCAGCCCAGAGTGTGGATCAGCAGAGCACCTGGGTGGCGCCGCTCCTGCTGTCTGCCCTTCATCGGTTTGAAAAAACTGGCTCAGCTATGGATCCCTCATCCCTTGCTCACTTTGGTGACCCCGGCTGCTCACGAGGCAACCATACGTTCCTGGGCCAGCCAGACCTGGAGGTGCCAGAGTCCCCTGGGAGCGCTTGTCTGCCTGCCCCTCCCGTGAAGCTAGGCAGGGCATTCAGCGCCACCGACTCAGAGATCTCTGACCCATCCTGCCTCCTATACTCCTCCACATCCAGCTGCTGCTGCTGTGATCTTGTGTCAGTCATAAGTTCTTTCAGAGCTGTTCTCTCAAGGACAGTTCTCAGGAGAGCTCTCTCAGCCCCACCTTCCTCACAGGGTGTCTGTTGTGGGGAGGGGGAGGGGAAGGAGATTGTGAGCCGCTCTGAGACTCCTGTGGGTAGTGAAGGACGGGGTATAAATCCAATCTCCTCCTCTTCTGTACTCCCCTCCACACTTGATAAACTGGGAGGGGAGGCTGTCCATCACCTCTTGTGATTTCTAGGGATGCAATCCATTGGGGGGGGACTTGGGAGCTGCCAGTGGCGACAGTAAGTTCAAAGATTGTATTTAAAACACTTATACCACACACACACCCCTAAAAACTCCCAGGGTGGCTTACAAAAATGAAAGTGAGAAACAGCTACAACAGAATAGCAACAACAGGCTTGCAAACTTCTGTACCAGGCTGTTGTAGAGCTAAAGCACCTTTGGTTCTAGAGAACAAAACAGGAGTTCAGTGGCACCTTAAAGACTTATAATGTATTCCACCATAAGCTTTCAAGTGTCAGAGCTCCCTTCTTCAGTTCTACTGGACTATAAATCCACCAGATGGATTTATATATACAACAGGAAAGGGGGTTACAAAGAGAAGCTCGTTCAAAAGTGTGATCACTTAGAATGGGTGTGACGTGCTCCCGTCTGTTAAGCAAAATGGGAAACATAGTGCAGAGTGAAATGAGATACAAGAAGGAAGTTATCGAGATATAGCTGAAGTCATTAACATATGTAAGAGGTGGAGTATGCAATCTAATTGTGCCTATCCTGAGACAATGATATGAGGTGTGAATTAAAAACTTATGCTGGAATAAATGTTAGTCTCTAAATTGCCATCAGATGCCTGTTTCTTAGGGTCTCTAAAGCAACAATATGGCGAAACCAGTAGGGAAGTGTTTTTGTCTTCCAGGGCATTCTGTTGTTGATCTAAAAATTACAGTTCTCTTGCGAAGGAACTTGAAAGGGAAAATGCACTGTGAAAATGCTGAATTGGAATTCCTTAACAGATTCACAATTGTTACCTGTCAGGGCTGAAGAGGCCTGGGGTTCCTAACTCATTAGGAAATGAGTCTAGTGGCATCTTAAACACTAACAAAATTTTACTCCAGCATAAGCTTTTGAAAGTCAACTTGTTTCATAAATGGCACCATAGGTACAAATATATCCCACCCATTCCAGATGTTAATTCCTATAGCTATATCTGTAACTTCCTTAATGTATCTGCTTACCTCATTTCATCCCACACTTGGTTTTACATTTTGCCTATCTAACAACAGCTGAGAGTGTCACACCCATTCTGAGTGAACCTCTGGACTGGATCTTGTTTTGAAGTGGCATCAATTCATAGTATCCCCCATTCCTTTCTGTTGTGTATATAAATCAACCTGATGGATTTATTTGATGCATTTGATGAAGTGAGTTCTGGCTCCTACTCCAATGCATTTGATGAAGTGAGTTCTGGCTCCTGCGAACTTAAGCTGGAATACATTTTGTTAGTATTTAAGATGTCACTGGACTCCCCTTTTATTCTGTTGCTACAAACTAATACATCTACCTACTACCTGGAATTATCATAACTGGTTTTAGACTGTTTGTTTCCAGTAGATGGCTCTGTGTAGTGAGAATTTATAAAAACGGTATCTTTCTTGCTGATTTCAAAGTTGATTGTGTTTCTATACGGGGTCTTGTCATACAGTATATATATGTTACCCATTCTCAGAGTCAAGGTTCCCATTCAAGAGACCAGGCCACCTCACAGTCTGCAAAGGGATCTCTTAGCAATTCTTAAGGCAAAATACAGTTCCCAAGAACTCCCAAGGAACTGACAGTTATACCAGGTTAATCTTTACAGCAGAAGCCTGCCATCCTTATGGTTCCATGTGAAAAAAGGTAAAGGTTCCCTTGCTCGAAAGCCAGTCGAATCCGACTCTAGGGTTGCGGTGGTCATCTCCGTTTCAAAGCCGAAGAGCCAGCGCTATCCAAAGACGTTTCCATGGTCATGTGGCCAGCATGACTAAACACCAAGGTGCACGGAACGCTGTTACCTTCCCACTGAAGTGGTACCTATTTATCTACTTGCAATTTCTTGCTTTCGGAGTCCTTAATTTAGAGAATTCTGCCAGTGAGCTGTGTTTAAATTTAACTGATCTAGCTAACTGATCTTCAAGGCTGCTTTCAAACAGGAAAGGTAGAATGTTTGTCAGAAGAAAACAAGGACATCACAACTGGTCAATTAATCATTCTACTCAATACGCGATGGTAGTTAGGTTCAGTGTTCAGTGAATGACAAAGGAGAGGAGAATGAAAGTCTTAACAATTGTGTAGAAAACAAGGTTCTGTGAAAACAAGGCAAGAAAGCACTGGGTTTAAATTCTACAAAAATCAGAGGGGAGGGACTGTGCCTCAGTGTTGGGAGTACATGTGTCTTCGTGCAGAAAGTCCCAGATTCAGATCCCTGTTGAAGGATCTTAGGTGTTGTAGGTGTGAGAAAAGACTAGAGAGAAGGGGGTATGAAAGAGGTTTATTCTTTGACAACCTATGTTTACTGCCTGAGCAATAGTTCTCTGTGGTTACATGATATAATAAAATCAGTGCCAAGCATACCCATTATTTTTAAAACTTAAAATTTAGGAAAAAAACTCCTAAAATATCAGGAGCAGCACCCTGGTGGAGTAAGAAAGCTTTCACTTGCTTCACAAAGAAAGCCTGCAAAGGAGCTAAAATAGAGGTCAGGTAGGAGAACATTCTGCCAATGCAGTGTCACCACCAAGAAGGCCCTGCTTCCTTGTAGATGACAGCCAAACAGCTAAGTTTGGTGTTTTTTCTTTCTTTACCTAATGTGAAAATGGAGGAAACAAAACAGAAAACCTTTGCCACGGGCAACACACCTTCCCAGCTTGCATCTACTGATGGGTATTTAGGATAAACTAGAGGTCTAATACTTTCTTCTTGCTAGTGAAATAATTTAGACAAAAGTTTGTGCTGGAGTGTTTGTGAGAATCTAGTCTCTTGATTGCCATCTGCTTCAATGATTCTTAAATCTGGTAAGCCAGGATAGGCTACTGATCAGAAGTTGCTATCAGAAGGGCTAATAGCAGACAGGGCCAAGAGGTGCAGCTGGCCCTATCAGCCACTTGACCTGCAGATCTGCATACCCAGGTTCACAGGGTCCAGCCTCTTTGTTATTTTGGCATACAAAACATAGGCCAGATCTTCTTCCAAGCTGCACCTGGCCCTCTAAATTCCTGCAGGAGCCAGGGCCCACTCTAGGTTCACCAACAACCAACCTGCTAGAATAAGCTTTTCACTTCCTTGAGGGACTAGAAATGGGCGGGGGTCCCAAGTCTGAATCCCTACTCTGCTATGGAAGCTGGCTGGGTAACGTCAGGCCAGTCCCACACACTCTC